GTCCTGACCTGGAAATACAGTCATTTCACCAGCTCCTGCACAAGATCAACTGCATACAGCTACACAACAACCACGGAAAGACAGTGGGCCAGCAACACATCCAGGGCAAGGACAATGCAACACAATCCAGAGAAAGCACAGAGATGGGCTAGCAGAAGGAAGTGGTCTCAGGCATTCGCTCCTTTGCTCCTTTATACAACAGTCTCCAGAGAGCACCATCTGTATGCCCAGTGCTGATCACACCATCTTGGGTAAGACAGAGAATGCATTGCACCTCCTGAAACTGAGAATCTTGGCTGACAAAGACAAGCCAAGTGCAATTGATGGGATCATCCTAGCTAGAGAAGAGGGTTCAGTAAAAAATTCAGAGTGTTGGGTAGCATCAGAATACTGGAAGTGGGAACGGATGATTTTTGAGTTGAGTGGATTCCATACAAACTTTGGCCAAAAATGTCAAGAATTAGCTGGGGTTTCCATACCAGTTGGAACCACTAGGAGGAAGGCTCTGTCGCTGGGATAGGTTCCCTGCGTTCATGAAAGGTAAAGAAGGATGAGTGAGTGAGGGAATAAGGGAAAGAAAGACAAGGCTATCATGGTAAAGGAAACACGAAAGAAGACACAGCCCAGGCCTAAAGGGATCATGGAGTGGAGAAGAGATCCACAAAGAGGGTCTCAGCTTAGAAGCTGAAAATGCCAAGGGCTTCCATGTACAGGAAAGTGCCTGACTGGGGGCTGAAAAGCACCAAGGCCACACCATCCTGGGCCATTTCATGTAGCTGCTCAATCAGAACTCAACCATAACCCTGACATTTCTCAGACCTTTTGTTTTGCAACTCACGCCAGAAACATGTCCTTCAACGGGAAAGCTGTAGTCTACAGGCGAGTAGGTACCGCTCAGCCTGAGAGCCACTCACCGGATGATTTCCACAAACACATCCACTTCACAAACTGTCGCCTTATTAGGGGAATCTGCAACCACAGAAGACATTCATGCAAATATGTAGGTATGGCCCAGATGCCTAGCAAAGATCCCTGAGTAGCACCCCAGCCAGGTTCTGAGGCCCAGCACTGATGCTCCCAAGGAGTCTTGGAACAGCAGTAAGCACAGTCTTGACCTAGTAGGCTTAGGCACAGCAGCTCCACAGCAGCTACCTGGAGCCGTCTGTCACCCATGTGCTAAAGGAAGACCTCTGCTCCACATTATTCCTTACCGCCTAGTCAAGGGCTCAGTTGTCAGAGCTGGACCCTGCTCCTGTGAGTGCTAAGCAACACTTTGGGCCATCTCCCTCCCCAACTCCAACTCAGTGCCCTTCCTGAAAAAAAAAAAAAAAAAACCACCCTGATCCCTCAGATTGGCCACAGTTACATTCTACAGACAAATGTGTTGGGAGCAAGTCTTAATAAACACTGGGAGACAGGCAGAACCTTCATTTCCATTCAGTTTTCTTTGTTTAAGAAACACCTGTGAGCAGAAGAGTTCACAACACAGGGTGGGGCTTCTGCCTTCTGAAGGCTGTCCCCCCCCAGCCTGTGTGAACAAAGCAGCCCACTGAGCATCACTGCCAATCAGAGTCTATGACAAAGTGAGCGACAGGTGTTCGGCGCTCCTGAGGGATCGGTGGTAGCAGGGTGCAAAGTCCCAAGTCATCGGGATCGGGCACAAAATCAAGGAAATGCACTGGGTCACTTCCCCAGTCCTGTCTGCTTGCTATTTGTGTGTGTGTTTTTTTTACATAAAGTTCTGGGCATCAGCTTCCTCATATATAAACACAAGATGAGTAAGTCCATTTCAGAGAGCTTTGGTTAAATGTCTCCACATACATATAATGTATAGCGCAGTAACCAGCAATAACTGATGTCTGTTTCATCTTGTTAATTTAATACTAGTACCTCGTGGTCTTGCTCCGAAACACCCTAACTGCATCACCGTCCTCAAATGATATAACCTCCCCATGAGTTTGTTTCTCATCTGCAAGATGGGCATAGCAACAGCATGTGTATTACAGGGTTGTCACTCAACGTAAGCACGGTTATGTGGTCGGAATGACTGGGTTGAGATATAAAGCACACACTCCCTCACACACTGAATGCTCAACCAGCCTTGCCTAGCAGTATTACTGTAGATTCTTTATGATGTAACCTCACCCTTAAAAACATATGTATACAGCGTATCAGCACAGGGCAGGAGTGGGAGATTGCACATTATTTGTGATTCTTTGCAGGCTGTGGATGACTTGTTAGGTGTAAGGTTTCCCGGTATCTCTTCAAGGATCATTAGAGTTAATTGGATAAAGTAAGACATTTTTTAAAAGTTCCCTCACATTTGAATTTGCTGCTGAAGCACTTATTCTTTGGAGATTGGAAAAGATCTTCAGGAAATTATATTGGTGAGAACAAAGCAGAACAAAATGAAACTAGAGCAAAAAGTCCTCTGCTGGTTGTGGAGAAAACTACAAGCAACATCAGGACCATTACCCTCAGAGAGAAGGATGGTGGCTAGGGTGGCTCCCAGGGACAAGCTGGGCTCCACTCATCGTGGTTCCTTAGAGTGCGGTCATATGAACGGCCAAAAGAGAAAACAAAAAGGAGGGGGAAGAAGGAGAGACCCACATCTCCTGCACATCAAATAAAAAGTGAAAATAAAATAACCTGGGACCCTACATCATCACAACCCAGAATCAGTACACATGCAAATTTAGCCATTGTTATGCAAACAAAATACAGTCTGCATTTCCTCCTTGCCTGTCTGCACAACCAGAAAATACAGTGCCTCTGCTTGAGAATTCCAGGGTTTACTACTCCAGGAAAGTGTAGTCCCAACAAAGCAGCCCTTACTGGCTTCATTGCCTCAGAGAATGAGAGTGATCCAAAAAGTACCTCCTCTCTGCAAGTGCCTGTTACATGGCACCCAATGCACTTCCTAATACAAACCCATGGTCAAGTCCTAGCTCAGGTGACCTCTGCCCAGCAGGACTCTGTCCACTGTAAGGGTCATGCCTTCTTCCCTGAAGCTGGCACAGAATAGCAGGACACATTCCAGGACAGCCTTCTGGGTCCAAATTTGGGTGGGGACAGATGCAAGGTCTGGAGTGAAACTCCACCATGTCCTTCCTTCCTCCAGACTTGCACGTGGAAAGCGTGTAGAAAAAAATGCAAACCAGCATCAGGCCTGAAAGAGACAGACAGACCCCACCCCTCTTGGGATGAGAACACAAGCAGCACTGAAGGAAAGGCAAAGCTAAGGAAGCCAGCCAGCACGTGAGAGTGAGACTGTAGCGAGAAACCGTACCCCACCCAGGGCCGGACTCACTGCTGCCTACAGAGACTCTTGATTCTCATGATCCTCAATCGGCCACCTTGGGAGAACGGATGCAAGCCACTCCTGTCCGCTTTACCTTTCCTATAACATAAGCATCCCTGTCTGAGAAAGCCCTCTTGCTATCTATCTTCAAGTCTTTACAGAGCTGTCTTCCGCCCTCCCCGAAAAGAAATCAATCATCTCATTTGTATCTAAAATGTTTCCCACGTGAGAATGTCTATATTTCTCACTGAGGGGGTTCCTCCTTGCGAACCAGAACAGGGACAAGGGAGGCAGCTGGACCGGCTTAAATTCCATTGACTGTACTGTTTCAGACATCATTTTTGTGCTTCAACTTCAGTAGCCTGAACTGGCTGCATCTTTGCAACTGTCATGAAATCCCTTTTTACAGCAGGCACACAATCCTTTCAGAGCAGAGGCAGCTACACATTTCACCTTTGTCCAAAATCATTTCCTCCAGAGCACAGTGGAAGAAGTACATTTCATGAACCAGTGACTGAGTAGCAACTCACTGTGGCCACGAGAGCTAGCTTCCCAAAGACAAAGGATCACGGGACGCCTGCTGCCTGGTCACACACCTCATTCAGCCCTGCTCTTGCAACTCAGATGAATGTCCACTCCTCCACGTTCTGTGGGTATTGCCACAGAGACTCAGAGCACACACACCCTGACCTCAGAATCACCGTAAGAGGCCAAGACAGCAGGCTCCAGGGACATCTTGCCAACAGCCTTCATCTGCAAGAGGTGAGGATACGGCCACTTGGCCTTGTCATTACTTCAACTGCCCCATCTGGAAAACTTAGTGAAGGCATGATTTCCACAAACCATCTAAACTTCTTCCTCATGATTACCCTGTAAGAAAATGCCAGAGAGTGAAATTTCCCGTTGCAATCACAAAGTATGTTGTCCTACTGTGAGTGGTGTGGTCTCTCAAACTCTGGAGGAAGCCTGAACCCCAGAGTCTACCTTGTGCCTGCTGGGTAGACAATTTCGCACAGACTGCTTGGGTGTACAGCATGAATGGAGCTCAGTTTCCCAGAGTAAATGATATTTTCCGTGGACAACTCAGATACCTTCAGCCTCAAAATCCACATGCAGACCGGAAAGAGCATCTTTCTGTGTCCACCAGCTCACAGAGGAAAGCAGCCCAGCAAAGCATGAGGCCCTTTAGAACACGGTGGTTCTGCCAGAGACCTAGAGCCCCCCACCCCTGGAATGGGAGGCAATGGAGGGGCATGATCTCAGGGCCAGAGAGAGGACATTCTCGCCAAGTCAGCCCTCCTCCTTTGGGACTCAATGACCCCACCAAGACGTGTGCAGGCTCCTAGGCACCACGGTCACCAGTTTAGGCACAGGTGGAGCCCCTGCCGTCCATCTCAGCGGCTCTCCCTCCTGCAGCCACCTCTCATCCTTAAAAAGTCCAGGTGCCCAGGAGGCCAGCAGTAGGGGCACGGCTCCCCATGGATAACCTGAGCAGGTTCACCTGTGACTATCACATTTCTGGGCAACTTGCTCAGCTTCCGCCTGAAACACGTTGCCCAAGGGACCTAGTGACCCCTCTGCCAAGCTGGGGCAGGTTCCAGTGCACACACCTGCACACCTGCCCCTCCATCCCTCGCCCCTGCACACACAACCATACCCAAGCAGATCAGTAATTGGTGCAAGAGCCGAAGCTCCCTACCTGAGGGTGGCGCTCTCCCCCTGCCGGACCGTCACGTTGTCCATGGCTTTGGGGAAGGTGGCATCTCCGCTGCGCACGGGCACTCCTGTGGGTACAAGGAACAGCAGCCTGAGAGACACGACCACGAGGCACTTCCAGGACAGGAACAGGTATCCACACACCCCCATCCTCGAAGGCCGCAACTTCCCAGAACTCCGGCAACGGCACGGCACACGCCCCCCGGGCGAGCGCAGGAAGTGGGTGGGGTGGGGAGAGTGAGCTCCGAGAATGAGCACAGAACCCTCGGCTTTCGGGAGGCGCGCGCAGAAGAGCGCGCAGACTCCTCCAAGTCTGATATTCCGCTCCCAAATCCAGCCTCAGCTCGCCAGTCGCGGAGACCCAGTTTCCACGGAGGACATCCAGAGAGGGGCGGGGTGGGGGTGGCTTTCTCCGTCGCTGCCGGGGCCGGGGAAGGTGGCCGAGAAAGGACAGGCGCGAGGCAGGTGCAGAGGCGTGCGCAGGGTTCAGGAGCCGCTTCTTCCCGTGAGCAGTTCAGATATGGCACTTTGGAGAGCAGTAAGCACTTTGGTGCCGGAAGGGGACTGGCCTGGGTAACATCCAGATACCCAGGGGTGATCTGTGTGATCCCCGCGTTCCGACCGGGGGGTTGGGGTGGGAAGACAATCCAAGACTTTCTTTGTAAGTTTCGGAGGAAGCCTGGGTCCCTCCCCAGCCAACAGTCTGCAACAATAGCGGATGGAAAGTGGCAGCCCGCGGGAGGCTGCGGGACTAGAGGAGGACGAGACGACCACGCCGGCCTCGTGCGATCCGCACCCGCAGCTCCTGCCGCAGCCTCCTGGGTCAACTTCCTCGGAGCCCGGACGCGCTCTGCAGCCGCCGGGGTCTAGCCGGTGTCGGCGGGGCAGTGGCCGCTGCGGAGGACGACGAGGCAGGCGCTGCGGGAAGGGAGCGGAGCGCCTCGGCCGCTCGCTGGCTCGCTGGGGACAGGCGAGGCGCAGCCGGCACCGGAGCCGCGCGGACGCCACGCTCAGCGGCCGCCCCCGGCCCCCGCGCCGCCTGCCTCCCGGGAGCAGCCCGGACGCGCGCGGGCCCCGGTCGCTGGGGTTGTCATGGCAGCGGCTCCATCCCTGACCGCCACTTTCTCCCGGAGCCGACTCGGAGCGCGCGGGCGGCGGGCGGCGCGAACGGCGCGCTCATCCTGGCCGCGGCGGCGCGTGGCGCGGGGCGCGGGCGCCCACCTTAACCCCCGCCGCGCCGAGCGAGACCAAGCACGAGCGCGGCGGGGAGTTTAACCATTTGCTGCCGCCTTGAATAGCGGACACTTCGAAATCCAAAAGAGAGACAAAGTTAAGCACGCAGTCTTCACACGCTTCATAAGGGGCATAAACTAACTGATGAGGAACGGGACTCCTTGCAGCAGTACCCTTTTAAAAATTCAGATCCAGACCGTCAGCATTCCGAGTTAATTTAGTGTTGGAAGGATGTTTCGATGACCTGATTTACATTAATAGTGCAACAGCCATGCCTCCAGCACCTCCCACCAAGAAAGCGACTTAATGCCCCAGGGACTGGATGCCACTTGGGAAATTAGAGCTCTTCCTCATAGAAAAAAAAAAAATATATATATATATATATATGTATATAGCAAAAATCACAAAAATCCTTCCGTGTGTGACAGAGGCATAGTGGCATGGCAGTGTCACACAGTTGTGACACTGTGTACATTTAGAGGCGCCAGGCCTGCTGCTGGGGTGTGTGTGTGTGTGTGTGTGTGTGTGTGTGTGTGTGTGCCAACGAACCGTGCTTTACCTATGCTGCACACACCAAGCTTTCCTGGGCTTCATGCTCTCACACAGCTGATCTCATCTCTAAGGGCTGTGTTTCACAGATTTTTGAAACCCTAGGAAAAGATTGGATTTTCTAGAATCCCCCACTTGCTTCCCTCTGCCTGCTGGCCCGTTATTCCTGCCTTGACTTCAGCTCTCTGAGGAGTTGACACATTTGCTGTACTAGCTCACCCCTGGGCCCCAGACAAGCACTCAACACCCCAGCCCGCACGGCAGCGTTGACACTAATACAGACTCATCTCGGGGATCCCCACATCTGGGCTCCCAGCACTGACCTGAATCCTCCATCTGGGACAGAGGAGAGAGAACACTGGGTGTGTGTTTCTGGCTGGATTTTCAATAGAATCGAACTGGGAAACTATTTTAAAAAAATAAGTAAGTAACAAGAAAAGCGTCCTTCCCTAAAGCCATCCAACGGCAAGCAGGGGGCTGAAGCATTGAGGGTCAATCTCTCCTGCACTGAGACAGGGTCTTTGTGCTTCAAACAGCCTTGCAGCTTCAGGGCAGCTCCAATCACTCCCACGGATGACATGCTGGAGGTGATACTAGCATGTCGTCCGTCATTAACCCTCACATGCACTTGTCTAAAGAGACAGGCATTGGAGGTGTGGTGGCTAATCTCCAGAGTGTCACAAGACAGGCTGAGAAACGGAGCCTTTCTCTTTTAACTGCTGACCAGATCATGCTCAGCTGGGAAAAGTACAGCAACTTCACAATAAAGATGGCAAAACACTTGGCATTAGTTCATCACTAGGCCACTTTTCTCATCTTCTTTGGTGGCTTTTACTGATAGCAGATTCCCAAGGAAACCATCTGGCCATCTTGTCCACTGGGGCCGTTTGTCAGCTTATGGCTCTTACTGCATCTGCATGAAAGCAGAAGGGTGCCATTTATAGTTCTTAAAGGAAAAGAGGAAAATTAACCCAAACACTAGTGCATTCTTTCAAGATCCCATTTTGCCTTCCTTTGCCAATGGAGGCTTGTGGAATAAGAGATGGAATGATGAAGATGTTAGATGACAGCAGAGAGAAGACGTGCCATTGTGTCCCCCAACTTTCCATCTGCTCAATTTCTGTTTCTTCTCCAAAAGCCAAACCATCACCTCGAGTAATCCATCCATCCAGGTCAACCATTCCCCTTATTCCTCCACTCTTCCTTCCTCCAATCACATCACAGACGACAGAGTCTTTTTCCCTACAGCCTGAGCATCGCAGGGATGGTGTCTCTGATGATAAATTCTAATTCTGTTTCTTGCATCTAATTCCCAGGCAGATACAAATGAGCATCAGTTTTTGCATCTAAGAATGGGGATAATGACGACAACGGGCCATCCCAAGGGACCCACAGACATGATTAACTCTCCAGGAGCATACTTAGAAATCCATTTCAGATGGAAATGGCTTTATTAACACATCTTCCCAGCCGCCGCTTCATTACTACAGCTGGACAGAAAAATGATTCATCGTCCAGGTTCTTTAACACGTTTGGTTTACACCACTCTGCACGTGGTTGGTCTGAGGCTGCCAAACCATCTCTCTCTCTTTGTATCCCAGCGATTACCAGCAGGACACCCAGTAGTTCCCTCGGTGGCTCTCACGGTGGACAGTAACACTTTGCTGCTCTGTGGGTCCAGGGATACCAAAGGACAAAAGGTCGGTGATATTAACGCAATTAACAAGACTGAATGCATCTCAATTGAAGCTGCTATTGAACTGGTATGGAATGATGGAGATCAAAATTGTGTGTCACCTCCCCTTTCCGTCCCTTAATCCCTAAATATAACCAACACTTAGTGGCTTATCTTCTATCCTGTCTCCTGCTTCATAAAAACTGCTGGATTTATTTTATTTTTCCCAGCATATCCAAGTTAATGAAAAAGGGATGACAGCCAGAGCTATTTCATTATTTGTATTCTTTATAGAAACAACTTCCTCTCTGCCTTCTGGAAAGCAGGCTCCTAACAAACACTACCTGTACCTCATCCCCACCCCCACCCGTCTCCCGCTCTTCCTGCCTTCCTACTTGCATACACATATACTGTACACATAAATCAACTTGTCACAGCTTGTGTCTGTGCTGACAGCTGTAATTGCTTCAGGTTATAAAAATATCTATAGGACAATGCCTTTCAAACTCATACACAGAGAGAGACAGAGAGAGAGAGAAAATAATCACAACCCCTTTAAAAATCTTGGGAAGACTACAGAGGGGACAGGAGAAGAGGTTGCATGCAAACCCCGAAGTGCAGTTACAGGTAAGGAAAGAGTGTATGGGGCCTTCTGAAAGAAGGAATGGAGACTGAGACTTGGTGGGAATGGGGAACAATTCCCCACATGAAGCAAATCAGCTACAGTTTTGATGTTACTATCTATTTGTTACAGCAATCTGGAGTTAACTAAAAAGCCATAGCGCTCGCTTACACACACTCTTTCTCTCTCTCTCTCTCTCTCTCTCTCTCTCACATGTGCATTCATGTACACACACACACACGCACAGGAAACCAAGACAGGAACACTTGCTTAAGACATTCTGCTTCGGCTTCTCTTCTAAAAAGGCTAAAGGCCCCCTCTCCTGGTGGAGAAATCAAATCGGAGCACAGGAAGGAAAAAGGAGAACTGTAGAGCAGCTGGAAACTGATGTGACATCAAATAGATATGGGAGGATTTAATCAGGAGTAGTAGTGCACATCTGGATAAAGAGACATCTCTAGGGACAGTGGGGAAGGACTGGGCTCCAGGAAACTATGTGTATATGGTTTTTTTTTCCTTCCTTTATGAATGTGGGGTGGAAATAATTTTTCTGTTCATTTGGGCTAATATTCAGCATGTTCAGTTTCCAGCAGGAACAATGAAATGGCATCATGGGAATGGGGGAGGAGTCCAGGGAGATAAAAGAGATAAAGAACAGAATGGAGAAGAAGGAGAAGAACAAAAGAAGAGTGAGAAGCAGTGTATCCAGGAATCCTGAAAGTCAGGGAACTTCTTGACATACAGAGAGCAGAGACATGATGGGTGGAAAAATTAGAATAGACAGAGACATGGGGAAGGAGTGTGAATGGGTCAAAAGGGATGTGGAGGAAGACAAGGACACACCCTAAAAGTCAGGAGCCCTTTGGCCAGTCTTTCTTCTCTATGTCTCAAGTGGAAAGAAGACTCTAGACTCAATGAATTACAGAATGATACATCTTAAAGGAGGCTAGCCAGATATTTGGTGGAACTGACTCATTTCATAAGTCCAGGAGGAAGGATTCATTGTCAGAGGAGCATCAAGTCAAACGTTGGCAAAGCAAGACTAGAACTCATGTCTCCTGGCTCTTATTCCAAGTCGCTTCTTCAGTGTTGAGTATCTAAACATCCACTTTTGCAGCTTCACCTGCGGTGAAGAGGAATCTGATGCTTTCACTGCTCCATGTCGCATCAGGCACTCAATTGTTCAGTTAAGTTCTGTTTTTTTTTTTTTTAAACTTGGGAATTCTAACATGTACCAGGAGCTGCACTGAGATCTGGAGGGGCAAGAATAAAAGGCATAGTCCTGCACTGGCGGTGATGCTTGCCTGGTGCCAC